GCATGTCGACAACTTTGTAACAGCTATAGCCCGTGATGAGAAGGACAAAACAAAGTGGCGCAAGCTAGAGGCGCTGCGGCTGACAAGCGACGAGTGGGAGCGTGCGGATCTGTTCACGCAGCTGCTCGCAGTAAGGTTATTTGCACTGGTCATTGTACGCCGCTAACATCTTGAACTACAGCATGCTGATGAACGCCAGCATGCGTTTTCATCTGAAACTCACCCGTGCCTGCAGTATGCCATTCCAGCTCTCGAAGGCTTGTACAAGGCATGGTCCACACGTGCCGCAAAGGATCGCTACTCTCACTTCTCCAATGCACTGCATGCGGGTGCAGACAAGATTGCGGAGTACTACGACAAGATGGGTGACTCGAAGGCTTACATCATCTCAATGTGTACGTATTCTCATTGGGTAGCACTTTGTGCATTCATGACTAATGTGTGTCTCTAACGCAGATCTCGCACCTGACGCCAAAGGTTCTCATTTCGAGAAGCATTGGGATGTTGGCCTTCAGAAGGAGGCCGAAGCATTAATGGAACAAGTCGTGAGTTGCTTATATGCTTGACAAGATCATTTTCGCTTACATTTGTAGCAGTTTAGTGAACGCTACACGAAGCTTAACGCTGCTTCAATGCAGTCAGCTGCAACGGCCACATCTTCCAAGCCCGGCGCCTCTCTCAAGCCGCAGACGAGCAAGCGCGTTCTCTCGGATGACGAGTCAGATGACGATAAGACGCAGCTAGGTTCGGACAGTACAAGTGCAAGCAAGCCATGGTATGCAGAGTATTGTCGTTATCTTCAGACGAGAGAAGATATCCCTCCGGGCGTCTCTCATGTGCAGTGGTGGGGGGTATGTCTCAAATTTTCGAATGCGAAACAAGTCTTTACTCATTGCTCTTGACAGCGGAACGCATACCGGTATCCTACGTGGGCTTCGCTTGCGTTGGACTACCTTCCTATAATGGCAATGTCGGTCTCAAGTGAACGTGCCTTCTCGCAGGGTGGCATAACTATCAGCAAACGCCGTAACCGTCTCAAGGGTGATATTGTCGAGGGCTTGCAATGCCTCAAGTGCGCCATCCAGCGTGACCTGCTGTTCAAAGAACATGGCCCTTGTTCGGCGCAAGAAGATGAGTCACTTTTGGATGCGGCAGATGACAGTGTTGACACTACTACCAATGATGGTGAGCTGGTAGAGGGTGACGAGTCGAAGGAAGGTGGTGAGCACTCATGGGATGAGATATTGGAGGACGACGACAACATCTATGAGGATTTATCTACTGAGTCACCTGTCACCACCACCGCCAGTACCCAGTAATGTAGGCTCTATGTAGGTTGGTTTGTACATCAATGAAGCTTCTATTGTATGATATACTCGAGTTTGAGCAGGCAAGATTCAGACTATTTGGGTGTACAGAGCGAGAAAGGTATCTCGAGCGGTGAAGGGTCTACGGGGTCCCAACAGTACCAGAGGCCCTTCGACACGTTACAAGCCCAGGGCTTAAGCCCGAGCCGGGCCTGACCTGGCCTGCTCTCAGGGCTCAGGGCCGGGCTTGTCCTCGTCTCAGGCCCTGGCCCTTCTAAGCCGAGCCCAAGCCTGGGCTTTGAGCCCAAGCCGGGCCTGCACATCACTACCTGCATCGCACTTTCGACAGTAGCAATTACCACGTCCACCGATATGAGCAGATACTTCACTCTGCATGGGGTTGTCAGATGGTTGAGCATTGACATGAAGCCGGAAGCGGACATTCTCTCCGGTGATGCCGTCCCGGACAACAACAGGGTTGGTGTGCATAGATTCGAGGATTTTCTTAAACGCCATGAACTGTTCGGCAATTGAGGCATGCTGGGAAGCGGATAAAAAGTGCGTATGGAATTCTTGCTGCAGAAGCTCGCGTGGCAGATTCCGATGTGTGACATAGGCATTCCAGTGTTTGTTCCAAGACTTTGAGCGATTACCGGATACATCATCTCCAAAATAGTCGACGAAGCTGGTGTACAGTGGATCTCCCTGCGCAACCTCTCGCAAGTGATTGGGCATGTTCTCAGGATATCTCCAGCTAGTTGCTCGCTCTAAGAATGAATTATCTATCAGTGAAGCTTTAAAATTGCCAAAAGAAAATAGCCCTACCATCCCAGCTGTGTGGTAGTACCTTGGCTTCTGCCAAATCATGGTAGTTGTAGCAAAGGGCCTTTGCTTCAATATCGATAGATTCAGCATTGTTAACTGAAGCTATACCCTTCAAAATTTTATTCAGCCTCCAACTGTTGGACCTGCTTGAGAGGACGAAGGGCATGGCTCACACTTTGGTCAA